ACCATATTCAAACGATAGAGTTTTTAGTCATTACTTTATTCAGACGTCCATCTGGTTTTTACCATTTTTTTACCATTCCGGCATTCATCGAGGGTGTTACAAATTAAGGAAAAATGTAAATAGTATGAGCACGTTAGAACTATAATTAGAAAATGAGACATTGTAATTAAAATTAGCTTTTGTGTGTGTTTATAATTATTTCACGGAACTTTATCGAATTCTATTATTTTCATCATTCGCTCGTCGTTTATTCCTCCTGTTACATTATTCAGTTGACACATTACCCAACTCATCACATTTATCAAAAAAATTATATTTCCACTTTTTAAACTATATTATTAGAGTATTAAAATTGTAACTACAAAATTGTGAATAGTCTATTACAAATAGCTTTTCAATATTGTATTATTATTATTTTAGGAAAACTATATTCTGTTCTTTTTTTCTGAAATTCAATCATGTAGATATTTCATCATTCTATTGCCCAACTAACATACCAATCAAAACTATTAAATTTTACAAAGGCCACACATCGATTTAACAATATATAAGATAGTTCAGTATAAGTGTGATCTTCCTAATGTGGTGACACATGTGATTTTAACGATATCAACTGAAATAAAACCAATATATCTTTATTTTAAAATTTAGATTCCGCACATTCACAAATTACATGTTTTGTATTAAAATAAACATCTTGTAATATTCTATACACAAATATGAGAGATAATCTGCCAGTGAGATTTGAGACGATACTCAGATGCGTCGTCATGCATGTATAATATGAACCGAATATATGTTTTTTGTTTAATTATGGGTTTGGAAATGAGCAAAGAAGCAGACATACTTGTAAGTTGTAACTATTGAAGATAATGTTGGATCCGTATTTGTAGGAATAACAATTAACTTTTACAGGTTGACTTCATAGTTGATAGTTCACAGGACGGGTGTATATAAGAATCTTGTCAGGACACACCTACCTCTAATATATTGATATTCTCTCATAAATATCAAAATTAAAACATTAACAAAATAAAGTAAATGAAAACTAGACATTCATTAGATCCATATACATCCACCTATGAACTTGTATAACTTATGAATTTAAAATCATGAATTTAATCCTATGTAACTAAAATTTGCAAAACTACAGCCAGACAAACAAACAAAAAAAACTAAAACTAACTAATTATCGATTAAAATTTTCATAGAAATGTAAAAACCTGCATGAAACTGCATAATTCGTTTAGAACTACCTAATTCTGCCTAATAACAAATTCAGGAATACGTGGCCATAAGAGCATGTTTATCCAAAGGTGCTTAGGAAGATGCTTAGGAGGAGAGGGGTGCTTAATTTGAAGAGAGAGAATGTGAAAAATGCTTAATTAAGCACTTTCTATACTCTCTCTCTTCAAATTAAGCACTCCTCTCTTCATAAGCATCTCCCTAAGCATCCTTGGATAAACATGCTCTAAAGCTCTTAGTTATGCGTAATCGTTCAGACTGTTTTTGAAGCACATCAACATATCAGCTAAACAAATTAATCTTCAATAGTTTGATTAAACCTATTGAGACATCAAATCGATTCAGTTAAAAATGATAAAATTGCTGGAAGCCGAAAAATACAAAATGATTAGACGCCAAGGCATCGAAACTCTAGATATGCTCATTAATGAAATTAGCATTTTATGCATGTACAAGCGTATATCTGGTAATCTAGATATGCCTACAAATAGAAAATATATATATATGGATACTAAAACATATGTGTAGACGTGTAGAAGTAGAGGGAAGATGGAGACGTATGCAATTAAATGTAGAGAAAAAAAGGCTTGGTGACAAGAAGCTTGTGAATGATCGATGGGAAGCCTCTCTACACGTGGGGGGAATGATAAAGTTTTTCCTTTTTCATCTTCATCCAGGCTTACAGTTTCCTCCATTCTTTCTTTCCCTCTCCTCAACAACTTTCTTTTGGTTCACATGTATATTTTGAAGAATTTTACATTCCGTGTGTATTTTATCGGGGATTTTCTTAATCTATGGTACAACATATACTCATTCGGAAACCAAATTTAATTTAGGATACACCAAAAATTGATTGAAAATTACTATATAAACAACTATACTTTTTGTCTAGATATTCACTTCTTATAAGATATTTTTAACTAGATATTCATTATTTTGTTGCAAGAAATGAGTACTGGTAAGTTAAGCATGTGAGCTACCATGTTCTCCTGTAATTGCAATCGGACTTCGTATATGAATCTAAATGATTTGGAACCATATGAAATTAAAGTTGTTCCAAACGTTTCTAACTTTTTCTGGTTTTGACAACTTTATATTTGTAGAACATGGTTAAAAAATCATGTTAAAAACCGACTCAACTAACAACGCTATTCATCGTTTCACGGGGGTCGGATGTGTATCGCAACTCAAGTAAGGACCACTAATGTAGTTTCTTGGTTGCGAATCTACAAAATACATATGAGGAAATATAATTTTTTTTGTGTAAGACAGGGCAATAATGTCCCGTGATTCCCGTTGGAGAAAAAAAAAGCAGAAGAAATGTTTGTGTGATGGAGTCTACGTCAGGGACAGCTGAGCAGTCACACGCCTTGTAATCTAATTTATTTGTCTATCTACCACTCTCCTTTGTCTTTTGCCTTCAGCATTAAATGCCATGCAAAACCCTAAACTCATCATCTCATCATTTTTTTAATGAACAATCTCTCATCAATGTCTTTTTGTAAAAATATATCTACGTACCATGTATTGTAGTTTGTTACTTTCTAAATGCTGAAGGACTATGCCAAAACACTAAAGAAACTGATACACGACATCTAGATACAAGTTTCCATTAGAATTTATTACTGGTAATTATGTTATAATCCTGTTGTTCTTTAAATCTATTTGTTAACAGATAATATATTGACGCTGGCCTGCCAGTTGGTTATATAACTGCAAACTAATTGAAATTAAATCCAATTTCAAAAGACATTTCTTGTACATACAGTTTCTATAAAATTTATTGGTGTCACGTACTGAATCTTCTAAAACGTAGAGGATCGAAAATAAAGTGGCAAACAAAAAAGGATGAAATGATAATTAAGTAAAAATAAAAATTTTAAATCGAAGATCTTAAGAAAAAAAAAATTAATCTCGATCATCAATGATCTTGTACTTTAATTGACAAAAGTCTTATTCAAGTTCTTGAAAGTTCAACTCTAATTCCGACAAAACTACCCTATGTGTATTTTAATTATGTGAATTCGATTTTGCATTAAACTATTGATTCTGTAGGTGTCAACATATTTTAGATTCTTGGTGTTTTGTTTGTTTCTAAACGCACATAATATCTTAATCATACTAATGCCATTGATAGAGTGTTAGTCCCGATACATGCATTTTTATTATATCTAACTTACTAATCGAAAGGCTAGTTTGACGAATCAAGGGTAATTTGGACTTAGAATATTATCAACCGAGCCTAATTTCTATCACTTTGATCAATTTTCATCTTTGGCGGTGACACAATACTAAAAACTAGGTTAAAATACGTGCAAATACACGAAATAAAAATTATCGATAAAAAAATATTTTACATATTATTATTTATTTTGTGTGTTTAACATATTATAAAATAATAAATATTTATATATATTGAATAAATGAAAAATTATAAATGGTATATATATAATAAATTAGTGAGAATACATAAATAAAAAATACTTGTTTAATTACAATAAGTTTACATAAGAAAATCTAAACAATACATGATATTAATATATATAGTATTTTTATTTTGGTTATCTATTAAATAAAGTTTTATACTTATATTGTTTTTAGTTGACAAAAAAATACTTATATTTTTAAGACTATTTGAATATTTTTAAGCAATTGATAACATAATTTTTAATGTGAGACTTTGAATATTTATAGTGATTCATTATTCTTTCTAAGAGATTAATTCAAAGTTTGAAATAAAAGTATTAGATTTTTTAATACTTGTTCAATGAAAATTTTAAAATTAAAATATTTATGTATTTGGTTTATAGTTTAATTTAAACGTCACTATATATAGTCTGAATATCTATTAAATAATACGCTTACTCATTAGTTTTATAATCTTTTGTATCTAGTTATAAAAAAAATTAAACTATTAATCAAAAATGCTATAGGTCAATTTTTAATGATTTTATTAATTTATAATTATTTTTAAAAAATTTAAAATGTAAAATGTAAAATATACAAAAAAATAATTTTTAATTATATAGGTAATGTCATTGTGTAATCTATTTTTACAATATAGATTTAACAAAAAGAATAAAGACTACACAAATTTCTATCAAATATTTCTTATCCAAATCATTAATTATCATATATATATTTCAGTCACATAAGATAATTCTCTAGTTTTTATTTAGAGAAAGAATGAATGACATTAAGAAAAAGTTTTATGGTTAGTAAGATTAAAAATATATTATATGTCTATATGAACCAACATTTATATCTAGAGATAACATATGTCATAACTATTTTTACAATATAAATTCAACAAAAAAGAATAAAGACTACACAAATTTCTATTAATCTTTCTTATCCAATCATTAATTATCATATATATATATATATATATATATATATATATTTCAACCACATAAGATAATTCTTTAGTTTTTATTTAGAGAAAGAAATGAATGACATTAAAAAATATTTTATGGTTAGTAAAATTAAAAATATATTATGTCTATATGAACCAATATTTATATCTAAAAACTTTGAGAAACTACCTAGTGATAAGATATGTCATAACTAACCATGTTGTAATGCTAGTCTTTTAATATATAGGGGATAAGCATTACTTGTAATTCTTTGGTATATTATAGGTCAAATATATCAAGTATCTGATTTAAAATAATAATTATAGTTTTCTCCCTTATATATAACACATATATGAAGAGCTGTCTATAGAAGAAAAATGCCAAATCAATTAGCTGGGGACAGAAAATAAAAACTTTTTAACATCTGCAACAAGATTTAGGTGAGTGTTTGTCTACATGCCCCGGGAGGAGAGAGAGAGAGAGAAGAGGGAATCTGAAGTGTATATTGATCTAGGGTTTCTCATCAAGACAGACCAAATCTTCATGCTTTGAACGAAGCACAAGTGATCTTGTCTTTTATCTGTTTCATCTCAGACCAAAGTATTGATCTATCATCCACTTCTTCCAAAACCTATATCTAAAGTCCAGAGGCTTCCCTATTTCTGGCCCTTTTTATATTTCTTCTATTTTTTTTTCTGTGAGTCACTAAAAAAAGATGAAAATGATCCCAAGTATGGAGGGAAGCGAGGAGACTGACAGGGAGGAAGAGGAGGAGGAAGAAGAAGACGGTGAAGGAGAAGAGAGTAAGGCTTCAAGCAATACTACAGTAGAAGCTGCGGTTGATAAGAAGACGAAGGTGAGGCCTTATGTAAGATCTAAAGTCCCACGACTTCGGTGGACTCCTGATCTTCATCTCCGCTTTGTCCGTGCCGTCGAGAGACTTGGAGGTCAAGAAAGTACGTCCTTAGCTTCTTTCTTTATCAACTCTTCCAAATATAAAGCTTGCGATGATTATTCCTAGTTTAAATTCTTGTCAAATATATTTCTAACCTTATACTTTATTGATGATTTTTAAAAAAAATATTGGGGGTATGTATAGGAGCAACTCCAAAATTGGTCCGACAGATGATGAATATCAAAGGGCTCAGTATTGCTCATGTCAAGAGCCATCTACAGGTACATACATATACACTTATACATAGTTATCATGTGTGTTGTATTGTGGGTTTTTTTTTTCAAAGAATCTGTGAAATTATATAAAAGTTTCTCACTAAATTGTATATTGGGAATTTTAGATGTACAGAAGCAAGAAGATGGATGATCAAGGTCAAGGTATTGATTCTTTATTTCTGTAGTTAGTTAATAAGTATACGTGAAAATAGGGTTTTGATTTGTTAGCTCATATCATATGACTACTATATTAACCAAAGTGTTCATATTAATTATTTGCAGCCATAGCTGATCACAGACATTTCATCGAGACTTCCGCAGACCGGAATATTTATAAACTAAGTCAGCTACCGATGTTCCGAGGCTATAATATTAATCATAACCATGATTCTCCATTCAGGTTTGTATTATTTATTCCATCATTTTATTGTATTCCATTCAATCTTTACTTGACAATCAGTTCTCAGTCTTTCATATTATTTAAAATTTTATGTAGATATGGAAGTAAATTTTCAAATGCTTCATTGTGGAACTCAAGCTCCCACGAGACAAACCGGAGTTTGATAGATAGGCCCGGTTTACTTCACAGCTCGTCGGTTAGCAATAACATCCATGGTAGTGAATATTGGACAAACAACAGGTCTTTCCAAAACAACTACTCTTCTTCAGTTTCTAATCACTTACCAAAACTAAGATACAACCAACAAGAACGGACCAACATAGCCACATTCAACAGTATTCAAGGACAGTCAAGAACGTTTGAAAAGTTCAAGATCGGTATTGAAGAGAGCACCAATCATAATGCTTATTGTAACAAGACAACGGGGAAAAGAAACGCAAGTACCAGCCTCGATCTTGATCTCTCTCTAAAGCTAAGAGTACCCGAGAACACAACTTTGGAAGAGACAGAAACAGCAGCAACAACAACGGATCAAACGTTGTCCTTGTCGTTATGTTCATGGAAAAAGAGCCGAGTGATCAAGACGGATGAAGAGGATCGGACGGTTAAGATTGGACAGGCAAGTACTCTGGATCTGACTCTATGAATTATAGGTAAGAATGGGACAAATTCTAAGTGAGATCCTGTGGTACTTATTCAATAATATCTTAATATCAGCGCCTTTGTTGTTAATTATTTGTGTACTTTATATAATATTATTAGAAAGGAAACAAAAAGGTCTGAATATATAAACGTTTTGAGTTTGTTTGATACCGCCAATTTGTATCATCACATATATATTTAAAAATGTTACTAGCTGCATGGTGATTCGATCCTTTGCCCCTTCCCATGCTATCTAATTATATACTAGGATAAGACCCGCGCCTTGCGCGGGATGAAGTTATTATTTTTATTATGTTTTTAAAAATAAAACAATAGTTCGGTTTCATTCATATTAGAGGTGTTCAATCCGGATATCGGGTTTCGGTTCGGCTCGATTTTTTGGTATTTCGAACATTAAAATATAACTACTATTCTAAATCTATATGTACTTCAGTTTGATTTGGTTTATATACCATCAGTTTTCAGTTTATTCAATTTTATACCAAAAAACATAATTATTTAGTTTGAGATCATATTATATATTATACAAATATATAATATGATCATATTTAGAGTCATATTGTCACAGAGTCATTTATTAATAAAATATTATATATTTAAATAAAAGAATAAAAAAAAGCTTATATCATCTAATAAAATGATCAAATCTAGAATTAATATCAAAACACTAAATTTTGAAAATAAAAATAAAAAAAACAAAACAGAAGCATGAAAGAAAAGTTTTTATATTCTTCCATATTTAGTGTTCATCAAACCAATATGTCTTCGATTGAACACAACTCTGTTTGTTTAAAGATAAAAAAAAATTGTAAAGAATTTCAACTAATTGTTGTCCATAAAATAAATAATCTTTACTTCGATTTAGTTACTGTTAAAAAAACAAAAGATCAAAATAAGAAATCTTAGTTGTAATAAATTGTTAGCTATTTACAAATTATAATTATAGTTCAACTCATGTAACAAATAGATATTCATGCGTCGTTATAAATATATACATATTTACATGTTCCAGTTTAATCGATTATAAATCAAACCATATCCAAATCCTATGGTTTTTATAAAATCACATCCATTCGGTTTGTATGGTATATACCAAAAATAATCATATTATCGATTGTTAATATCTTTTAAAAATATAAAATTAAAAAAGAACTAAGATATTTAAATCATTGATAACAAAAAATTTCAATGTGAAAAATTTAATAAGTTTATAATTTATAAATGTTCTTGAAAATTTATTGAAAATTTTGAAATTAAAATATTTATGTAATCTTATATGGTATATAGTTTAATCTGTATATA